TTTAAACCCAGCTCTTGGGAGGCAGAGGCAGGCGGATCTCTGTGAGTCTGAGGTCAGCCTGGTCTACAGGAGCGAGTTCCAGGACAGCCAGGACTGTTACACAGAGAAACCCCGTCTCTAAAAACAAAAAAACAAAAAACAAAGAAAGGGCAGCCTCTCTAAACAAAATTATTTGGAAAAAAGTCCCACCACCATGGAACCATATAGTGTGATAACTCTGCCTACTCCCGTACAAGTTAACACCAAGCTGCCAGAAAATTTAGATAAGCAACATACACTTGAAATCCAAGGCATATTTGATAATCAAGATTTATAAATTCCTAAGGTCTACTTAGTTTCACAATAATATTTGTCCCGTTTTGTCTGTGCCCACTTAAACTTTGGCTAAATAGATAAACTAAGTCATATAAAAAGCTGCTATATTCTATAGTAGAGTGTCTGGTGCCCCCAGGAAAGTTCTTTTCCTAAGGTCAAGCTTTGAAACAAAAGTCTCCATGCCTTCACAGGATTGAATAAAGTTCCTGCTTGCTAAAACTAGTCCCTTGTGGCTCTTCATTGACATGTGATTGGCACCTATTAACTTGTCAAGATCAATGATAGATCCCTCAACCCCTGATCTTAAGCCACACCCCAGCTCCCTTGTGCCCTTTCTCTCATTTAATCCTATGTGCAACTATAGAGTATAAAATGTGTATTCTTTTTTCAATGAGTACTTGGCCAGCCATCTGGATTCACCTCAGATCATGTCAGTACTCTCCACCCCCACTCCACTCATCCTCTTTGGGACCTGAACCCTGAGCTGGTCTCCAGTAGATCACAAAATATCTTTCTATTATATTCTCCCTCTGTTTTCCTCCTAGCACCCCTTCCCCCTGACTGATCCCCTTCCTCTTTCCACTGGTGCCCCTACTACTTTCAGTGTGTGTGTGTGTGTGAGTGTGTGTGTGTGTGTGTGTGTGTGTGAGAGAGAGAGAGAGAGAGAGAGCGAGAGAGAGAGAGAGAGAACGAGCGGAGGAGCTTCACGAAGGTTGCTTTCAGAGGCATGGGTATTAAGTACAGGAGTTTGGACACCTTATCAGTGGATACAGCACTGAAAAAACTGTCTCTTCCTCCCGCATCAACCTGACTGCACACACATTTGTATATAAACCCTCAGGGAGTACAGGGCCCCAGGAGCCACTTGTTGACAGGGTGCTGGCAGCCTCAGCCATGGCAGAGCTTGTGCAGGTATTCCCAGATGCTGTAAATCAGTGTACCAGTCAAGCCACGCCTGGCGGTCAGTGCTCCACCCTGCCCACCCACTGCTGTGGGACAATGGTCTCTACCCTGTCACTTGTATTTTAAATAAACGCTGATTGGCCAGTAGCCAGGCAGGAAGTATAGGCGGAGCAATGAGAATTCTGGGAAGCGGGAAGTTTCTTTTCTTTATTATTATTATTTTATTTTATTACTTAAAAAAAATACCAATCCAAATTTCCACTTCTTTGCCTCCTCCCACTTCCCTCCCACTCCCTCCACACACACACACACCCCACCCCCTCCAATCTTAAGAGAGAGCAAGGTACCCTGCCCTGTGGGAAGTCCAAGGCCCTCCACACTACATCCAGGTTGAGCAAGGTATACATCTAAAGAGAATGGGATCCCCAAAAGCCAGAACATGCAGTAAAGACAAATCCCAGTGCCATTGTCATTGGCGCCTCAGTCTGCCCCAACTGTCAACAACATTCAGAGGGACAAGTTTGATCCCATGCTCGTTCATTTCCAGTCTAGTTGGAGTTGGTGAGCTCCCATTAGCTCAGGCACACTGTCTCAGTGGGTGAACCCCTCATGGCCTTGACTTTCTTGCTCATATTCTCCCTCATTCTGCTCTTCAACTGAACCTTGGGAACTCAGTCCAGTGCTTCGATGTAGGGTTCTGCCTCTGTTTCCATCTGTTGTTAGATATTTAAGATAATCATCAGTCTGACTACAGGGCAAGGCCAGTTCAGGCACTCAAAGACCGAAGTTTCAGTCTGCAGTTGTCACCCAGCCACATAGGAAGCCAGACACAGAGCAAGCAATATATGACTGCCTTGCCAAAAAAATCAGTCACATGGCTAACACAGACAAGAATTATGGACTAATAAAAGTTCTAAGAGTTAATAAAAACAGCCAGGCGGGAGGCAGAGGCAAGCAGATCTCTGTGAGTTCGAGGCCAACCTGGTCTACAAGAGTGAGTTCCAGGACAGGATCCAAAGCTACAGAGAAACCCTGTCTCGAAAACCAAAGAGAGAGAGAGAGAGAGAGAGAGAGAGAGAGAGAGAGAGAGAGATAATAAAAAGCCTGAGATACTAGGTCAATCAGTTTATAATTAATGTAGGCCTGTGTGTTTATTTGGGACTAAATGGATGAAGGACCAGGCGGGACAGAAACGTTGGTCAACCACCCACTTCTGATTTTTACGTTCTTTCTGCCTTTGAGCTTTGGAGAGAATGATGTAGATGCTCCACATATAACTGGGCATCCAACCCTCATTTATTCTTGGTGCTTGGACCTGTTATGAGTCTCTGAAATCAGACAAGTCAGTCTATGGTTGTTGAAGATGAGTGAGTTTGCTCGCTCAGGCTTGTCAGACTATAATAATGTTCCTAGCTTTCCAGCCTCCACTTTATACACAGTGGGTCCCTAAAGATCTCCACCCTGGAGGGAGACTATGTATTATCTGAAAATTTTCTGCAAGGAAGATTATCTCTTCTCTCTGCTTATTATTTACTCAATCATTTAAATATATCAATATGGGCTTATGGCTATTTATTGTGTACTTTTGGTTAAAATGTTTGTGTTCATTGTTTTGGGAGGCAGTGGGTGCGGGGTGGGGTGGGGAGTGGGAGGTGTGGTGTGGTTCTCACTATGTAGCCTTGGCTGGTGAGCCATCCACCTCTGCCTCCCAAGTGTTGAGATTAAAGACATGCTCCATTCTCTTAGTTAGGGTTTCTGTTGCTGTCAAGAGATACCAGGACTACAGCAACTCTTACAAAGGAAAATATTTAATTGGGGCTGGCTTACTGCTGCAGAGGTTTAGTCCATTTTCTTCATGGCAGAAAGCATGTTGGTGTACAGGCAGACATGGTGCTGGAGAAGGAGTTGAGAGTGCTACATCTAGATTGGCAGGCAGTAGGAAGAGACCCTGAGCAACTGGCCTAGCTTGAGCATCTGAGACCTCAAAGCCGTCCCCAGTGACATGCTTCTTCCACCAAAGCCACACCTACTCCAGCAAGGCCACACCTCCTAATAGTGCCACCCCTGTGAGCCTATGGGAATCATCTTCTTTCAAATCAGCACAACCATCATGCGTGGGTTTTGTATAATTTGATTATTTGGTGTTGTTCGTTTGCTTGCTTGTTTTCTGGTTTTTCAAGGCAGGTTTTTCTGGCTGTCCTGGAACTCACCCTGTAGACCAGGCTGGCCTCACACTCAGAGATCTGCCTGCCTCTGCTTCCTGAGTGCTGGGATTAAAAGCATGCGTCACCACCACCCAGCTGATTGCTTTCAGACATCTTATATTGGTAACTTTTCTAGTGCCGTGACAAATGCCATGACAGAGACAACTTACAAAGGAAAGCATTTAACTGGGCTCACAGTTTCAGATGTCAGAGTCCACGATGGCAGAAGAAAGGCATGGCGCAGGAATGGCTGAGCACTCACATATGAAATACAACCACAATTTAGAGAAAGAGATACCGAGAATGACACCAGTCTTCTGAAGCCTCATGGCCTACCGCGGTGATACCCTCCAACAAGACCTCACCCCCAATTCTCCCCAAACGGTGCCGCCACCTGGGGATCAAGTTCTCAAACACATGAGCCTCTGTGGGCCGGGCCGTTCTCATTCAGTCCCGGGTTATCCATCACTTTCCTACGGTTCTGTTTTTGTGTCCCCACTGGACAAAGAAAGTCACATTCAACTAGCCAAAGTGCTTTCCTGCCCTTTTGCTTCAACTTTCTTCAGTCCCTCATCTATAAAACCGACTTCCTTTGTGCTGCCTGCCACAAGACTGATTCTCTTTATGGGATGTGGTCTTGCTTGATGCTGGCATAGAAAATAATGTCAGCTGCGATCATTCAGTTGAGATTGATCTACTATTTTATTGTAATTTCATCCTCAGTTTTGTTGCTCAGATTGCCCCCATCTCCGTCACCGAGAACTGCCAGTGTCTATTTTCCTGTCTTCTAGAGGACAACCCTGAGTTTGGTTCTTTACACACCATCACCTGGGGGTGGGGGGGTTCATTGACCTTGAACTTGCTAAAAAGTTATCTGGTCAGCAAGCCCCAGGAATCCACCTGCCTGTCTCTGTCTCACATGGCAATAGGATTACAGACAGACACCACCATTCCCAGCTTTTTTTTAAAAAAGAAAAACATGGGGCTTGAACGCATGTCTTCGTGTTTGCAAGACAAACACATTACCAACGGAGCCATTGTTCTGTGTCACCTTTACTTTGCAGTACATTCTACACGCACTAATTGAGCACTCCCTTGTGTGGTGGCCTGTGCCAATCACAGGCACTTAATAAAGGAAGGAGGGAACAATGAAGAAGAATCAAACCACTAGACTGGGGAGGTAAACACTGACCTATGGACATTGACAGGAAGTGACAAGCTCCAGTTCTGGCCAGGTCCTCCGGATACATGGAAGTCAATAGGTATCGGCAGGGATCAGCCAGAGAGGGTGGCAGTCATACACCTGCAGGTGCTAGCTTGAGCCACTTGGGTGGACCAGTCATCTGAGAAAGGACACCGCAGAAGGCCAGGTTATGAACACGCAGAGTGGAGGGAGACATAACTCAGCAAAGATGAGCTTGGGGAAGGGTAACGAGGGACGTGTTAATAGTCAGGCATCTGTACTGGCCAGCCCTTAGGATCCTGGCAGGATGTGCCTCCCTCCCCCTCTACCTCTCTCTTCTCTTCTGGCACCAGTCCCCAGAGGCCAGAGTCCCCCTCCCCCACCCCACTTTACCATTCCCTTTCCCCCAATAAAAACGCCTCCACGTGAGCTCTGTTGCAGGGCATGACTCTCTCTCCCGCCGTTTTTAAATTGTAACAGGAGGTGATAAGAGGAAGAGGAGACAGCTAAGAAGATGGAGACGAAAACACGGAGAGCACGGAGTCGACATTCCCAAGAGGCGAGTGCTGCCAGCGTCAAATGCTACAAAGAACGGGGAGCTGGAGAGTGTGTGCGGGACCTAGTGGTAAGCAGATTCTCTATAACCTTCATGATGTGAGGAGAAAGGAGTGAAGCCGGTGGCTTCGTCAGAAGACGGACCAGCGACCCGAATGAGCAAGCTCACCGTTCCTCTCTGAGGTGCTGAGCTGTGTTGATTGGAGAGCAGACCTTTGTTTGCCTGGGGTAGACTGGACCTTCTTTATGGGAGATGGGAAAAGAGGGGCAGTAAACAGCCTGAGCCCCCTGGAGGTCAGGTGATGTAATTACAGAAGGGTTTTCAAGGTTGGGGGAGGGGAAAGCATTTATTACATCAATATCCCTGGAATACAATATTGAGAGAGCCTCTCAATTTGACATTCTTAAACTTGATTTCTCATCCAGTTTATTAACCTTATGAATTAAAAAAATCATTGGTTTTATTTATTTACTTATTTATTTTTAAACAAGGTCTCTTGTATGTGGCCCTAGCTGTCCTAAAACTACAATGACCAGGCTGGCCTGGAACTCACAGATATCCACCTGCCTCTGTCTCCCAAGTGCTGGGATTAAAGGTGTGCGCCATTACATCCAGCAATAGGTTTCTTACTTCTGGGATTAACCAGATAATGAGTCCTGTCCTGACTCTCTTTTCTTGTCTGGGGTTAGCGAATTCACTAACTCCTGGCACTTTCATTTCCTCTGGGTGGGAACAGATTGGAGAGCATCTCTGGGTGCTGCCATAGTTGTTGGGGGTCCATGATCTCCAGCAGAGAAGAGCCTTGGGCGACTGGGCATCCATGGGGGTCCCTGGCTCCCTCCCCATGCACAGGCCAGGCTCTCCTGGGCAGAGGAGGAGGAAGGAGGAGGTATCTGTCCAAGCCAGGTCCTGGTAGTCCTTCTCGACAGCTGTTCTCTGAGCCTTCCCATCTGCGATGACAAAGGCACGGTGGAGTCACCCGGGTTTTAGGCCGTCCTCAGGGGCGCGTGCGCTGTGGTGCTTCGCTTGGTGTTTACTTCTCTGCCGAATCACAAGAGGGAATTCCGTTCACTCTTGGGGATTATCATCAAAGCGTTGCGGGGCTCTGGGTCCAAGAGTTTCCCAGGGGTTCTGGGCTTTCTGTGTGTTTTTCCTGCTCTCCTGACCCCTAAGATTTCGGACCCTAGCTTGGGATTTGTGCTTTTGTCTTCGTTTTTGCCACTCCTAGCACAGACCAGCAGGAGTGAAGTCAGTGCTTGCAGACTGACACCCGGGCGAATTAAGACGCTGAGTCCCTGGGCTTCACAAAGTGGGAGCTAGGCAAGCCCATATCCAGAGCATAACCTGAGGCAAGACATGGGGGGGGGCCCGGGGATGCCGTTCCCCCACTTCTGTCAGGCTCTCATCAGCCGAAACAGAACATCTCAAGTTTGGGCGCTGACAGCACTGGGGTCTTCAAGAGGAGACCCCCCCCCCCGCAACCTCCCACGCCTCCCACCATGCCCATCAATGCTCCCCTCCCTACCCAGGGCTCCCCAGCTTCACTGGTCCGGAACCAGCAGCTGCAGTCAACCGGGGAATACAGAAGCCTGGATTCTTAGTTCTGATTGGCTGCCCTAAGGGCTGTTCAAAAACAAACCAAGAGCTTGAAAGGAGGGGAGTTTGGACCTGGAGGCCTCCTTTTCTTTCCGCTCTTCGAGGGACAGCTGAGTCACTAAGCCCAGTTGGCTTGGTCTCTTTTTCAGGAAGAGAGACTGAGGCACATGAAGGAAGAAGGTTCTGAAGTTTCCTCTGTGAGAACTCTGGACCCAGCAGTCCGATTGAGATGGGCGCAGCTCAAGGCTCCTGTTTGAGACACAAAGGAGGAGCTACCTGGGTGGAGGAGCTGAGCCCTCCCCCCTCCCCCCCACCTCAGGCCCCATCAACCAGGCCTGAGGATGTCTTCACCTCCCTGTGCTGGGAGTGTCATGAAGGCAGCCTGGTCTCAGGGCGAACAGGAGATCCTGGTACCAACTGAGGTTTTCTCCTGAAATAACACTCCTGCCTTCCACCAAGCTCCTCTGTGCCAAGGGCCTCCTAGACTCTGACCTTCTACCTCACAACCTCCTGAACTTGAACCTTCAGAGACCTCTGGAAACTCAGTTAAGGCCACGCAACTAGGGGGAAGCCACGCTGGATCAAAGCCACTTTCCCCTAGACATACGCATGGCATGGGACACACCTGTAGGCCTGGCCCTGTGACAGACTCTGCCATCAGCTGTCAGGTGGAGGGCCCCAAACATCTGGCTCAGCAGATAGGAGAGACCAAGGGGCTGCAGCTGGTCCGAAGGGAGGGGCTGCCCCTGTGTCAGGGTGTGGCCCTTTTCTAGGAGAACTCTTTTCCTCACCAACAGAGCAAGGGAGAGAATTTTCTCAGCAAGGAAGGGGTCCCTGTGGGCTGGGAGAGGGAGATCAGGACAGGCAGATGTGGGATCAGTCACAGACAGGGAATCTAGGGGATCCCAGGAAGGGGCAGGGAGAAGATAGAGGAGGCTATCACACAAGCCTTCCCTCTGCCCTCAAGTGTCCCGTGGCTGACTCTTCCACGGATGTTCACTAGGAAATGGATGTATCAGATACGTACCCTTTTGACAGCTTCCAAGGCCCAATCACAGTGATGTCAGTACCAACTGCTATTTTGGTTTAAATTTTTTCTTTTTCTCATATATATACTTTTTATCATGAGAAAAAGAAAATATATATATGAGAAAAAGAAAAAATTTAAACATATATATATATATACTGTCAGTGTGTGTATGTAAGACTAACTTTCTTTTTTTGTTGATTTTTTAATTGATATTTATTGAGCTCTACATTTTTCTCTGCTCCCCTCCCTGCCTCTCCCCTCTCCCTTCAATCTTCCCCCAAAATTCTCATGCTCCCAATTTACTCAGGAGATCTTGTCTTTTTCTACTTTCTATTTCCCATGTGGATTATATCTATGTAAGTCTCTCTTATTATCCGCATTGTTGTCTAAGTTCTCTGGGATTGTGGTTTGTAGGCTGACTTTCTTTGCTTTATGTTTAAAAACCACCTATGAGTGAGTACATGTGATAATTGTCTTTCTGTGTGTAAGACTACCTTTCAACAGCAAGGGAGTTTAAGTTTTGTTGCTTTGAGACAGGGTCTTACTATGTAGGCCTGACTGTTCTGGAACTCTCTTTGTAGACCAGGCTGGCCTCAAACTCTCAGAAATCCACCTGCCTCTGCCCACTGAGTGCCAGGATGAAAAGTGTGCACTACCACACCAGGTTTTTTGTTTGTTTGTTTGTTTTTTGAGATAAATTCTTCTCTATTGTAGATTGGCTTCCAACTCTCTACACTGCCAAGAAAGAAGATAAACTTCTAATCCTCCTGTGTGAGCCACTGCACCAAGTTTATGCCATGCAGGGGGTGGATCCCAGGGCGTGAATCCCAGGGTACCATACATGTTTACAAGCACTGAGCTACATCTCCAGTTACTCTTTTACAAAAAAAATTATTTTACTCTGTGTGTGTGCGCTCCCATGAGGAGGTCAAAGGAACACCTGTGAAAAGGGGTTTCTCCTTCTACGAAGTGGGTCCCAGCTATCCGGTGCTGAAACTCAGGTCACTGGCTTCACAGCAGGGGTGTTTCTCGGAGCCATCTCTTCAGTTCCCTCTAGCCAGCTTTTTGGTTTTAAATAAACAGCTCAGCAGGTGGTAAGGAGGCCCCTCTTCACCGTGAGCACCCTGTCGCACAGGAAGGAGTGCCTGGAGGCTTGAATGACCCCTTTGATAGCGCTCCCTCCCCTGACAGCAACCTCTCTAATGAAGAGAAGGCAGCCAGGATTTCCAGGGAGCAGGGGCGGGGGAATTCAGCGTCTGCTCCTGCCATTTCTCCCGCCTCCCCCCCCCACTGCGTCCTGGGAAGACAGGTGACACCAACAGGCCTGAGGACCTGGAAAAGGATGAACCTGGCACCAAGTCGCAAGGTTGCAGAAGAGAGCTTAGCTGAAAGAGAAGCCAGAGGAAGGAGAATACATAGGACAGGGCTAGGTCAGGGGCAAGTTCAGAGTTAGGAGGCTAGACTGGGAGGAGGAATTGAAGTTAATGCTGAGGTGGAGGCCTCAGGGAGTCGCTGGCAGAGCGGAGAGGTGGGGAGTGGAGGGTCGGTGGACCTCAGACGGGAAGGACGGGGACCGGCTTCCCGGCAGCGATGCTCACCGGCAGGGGACCAGGTTACAGCATTTCACCCACTTCATCCTCGCCCCGCCCCCGTAGGCGTCCCGACATGCGGGTTCTAGCAGACGTGGGCTACTTTACGGCAAATCTTGTGCCTAGACCCTGTGGAGTGGGCAGAAGAGGTAGGGTCTAGAGGAACTCTTTCAAGCACTCGGAGCCGGTGCCAGCAGCCCAGACACCGTTCCCGCCCCGCCTCGCCCCGCCCCGCCCCGCCGGTGTTCCAGGCCACAGTCAGTGCAGCCCACAGCGGTTTCTGCTCCGCTGCAGCCTATCTCCGGGCGTCTGTCCCCTTGTGCCCCACCAACTAAGAACGACTTCCCAGAGGACTTTCTCTCCCGGTCCAAGCTTTAGCCCTCTGCTTCCTGTGGGCCAATGTACACCGTAGGTAAACAACTGGACCTGAGGAAGTTACTGCGCCTCTCTGCGCCCAGGGTTCTTCAAGCATTGGGAATGAATGAGAGAAGGCCCTGCACACAGTAGGTGTCGCCTAACGGTTAAATTAAAGGACAGAAACTGCTTCTTGACCTGCCCCTGATCTGCTCGAAGCCCTTGGGAACAGCTCTAGTCTTAGGCTGGAGCCGCCTGTGGGTGTTTTCTTCAAACTAGGTTTCCTAGAAGCCAAGGCAATGAGGAAAACCTGATGAGTTAGACAGTTCTCCCTTGTCCGAAAGGGAAAACACAATCTGTCCGTGTGAAGGTCACACGTTGCTCAAGGCTTAGGTCCAGGAAGGATGTAGTTCACGGGTGGATTCCTTCTGACCTTTCTCACCCACCGATCTGTCTGTCTGAAGGCTACCAAGTTGTTCCAGAACAACCAGGGCTCATGTTGATCCTGTTAAAGGCTACTGGCTTGGCATAAATGGGAACTTGGAATGGAATTTCCCAGGCATGGCACCAACAGGCTCTCTGGCAATCTTTCTCTGGCTTGAACTTGCCCCTGGGTAGAGCCAGTCTGTGAAGTGGAGGCGCTCAAGGGAACGTTTGGATTTAGACTCACATTGCCAACTGTATGTATGGCCTTAGGCAAGTTCCTCTGGTGACTGTGGTTACAAATTAGTCTCTCAATCCCACATCCCTAGCTGTGTAGGAATAAGAATGGCTCTAGACCAGAGGTCCTCAGCCTGCGGGTCCTGACCCCCATGGAGTCGAATGACACATGGTCGACAAAGACCATCAGAAAACACAGACATTTACATTACAATTCATAACCATAGCAAAATTACAGTTATGAAGTAGCAATGAAAATAAATTTATGCTTGGGGGCCAGCACACCATGAGGAACTGTATTAAAGGGTCACAGCATTAGGAAGGTTGAGAACCACTGCTCTAGGCCATAATTTCCAGCAGCCAATCATTATTCAATAAAAATTCAGGACTTTTCTTTTTTGAGAGAGTCTTGCTGTGTACCTTAGGCTGCTTGCTGATCACGATCCTCCCGTGCCTCCCGAATAGCTGGGACTACCTTTTGCTGGCACTCGAGATCCAGTGATAGAAAGTCTCCAAAAGCCCTACACTCATGGGACTTATTATTTTGTATTCTGTGTATATGTGTAGTATGTAGTAGTGTGTATGTGTGTGCATGTATTGAGTGTGTGGGAGGTGTGCGCAGTGTGTATAGGTAGTGTGTATAGGCCAGACAATGATATGTGTCTTCTCAATTGTTCTCTACCTTATTGTTTATTTATCTATTCATCTATTTATTTATTTATTTATTTATGGTTTTTCAACACAGGGTTTCTCTGTGTAGCCTTAGCAGTCCTGGAACTCGTTCTGTAGACCAGGTTGACCTCGAACTCACAGAGATCTGCCTGCCTCTGCCTCCCAAGTGCTGGGATTAAAGGCATGCGCCACCACCACCCGGCTTATTTATTTATTTATTTTTAAGTTCGTTTTTTGACACAGGGTCACTAGGTAGCTCTGTGGGTCCAGAACTTGCTATGTAGACCAGGCTGACCTTGAACACAAAGATTTCCCCAATTCTGCTTCTCAAATGCTGGGATTTACCCACTGAGACATCCTGCTAGCCCCTCCACCTTAGGCTTGCCGAGACATTGAACCAATACTTGCTAGTTGACTAGACTTGCGGGCCAACAAGTTCAGGGGATTTCCCTGTCTCTTCCCTGCTGAGGACCTGAACTCAGGTCTGGTGTGGGAGAATTGTCTGTATTCTGTCAATCATGTATTTTAATAAAACGCTGATTGGCCAGGCAGGAAGTATAGGCAGGTCAACCAGACAGGAAGTAGAGGCGGGGTGATGAGAACAGGAATATTCTGGGAAGCAGGAAGCTCCCTCAGTCATTCCTGCGCAGACCATTGAAGAGGCAGGATGTAACCTGCCCAGCTGAGAAAGGTACTGAGTCGTATGACTAATGTAGATAAGGATAATGGGGTAACAAAAGTTATAAGAGCTAATAAGTAGCCTGACCTAATGGGACAATCAGTTTTATAACTTATAGAGATCTCTGTGTGATTGATTTTCTCTGGGACTTGCCAGTTGTGGGGTATCGGGCGGGAACAGATACCCCAATAAGCCAGCCCGTCATGTTACACAGGTCCTCATTCTTATAAAGCAGGCACCTTAGTGCCTGAGCCAACTCCCCAAGCCTGGCTTCTGTTTTACTGTCAAAGATAATAATTAATAAACAAGCTATTCAACAAGAGAGGATCCCCTGGGTAGATGCGTTAGTGGGGGTAGAGGGCGATGGTGACAGGACTCGGGCTGAGTGACTTGATGTCTTCTCAAGTCTATTCCCCTCTTCTTCCTGTGTGGTAGAACCCTGGACACAATACTTCCAAGAACGGAGACTACGCCGCCCAGACTGCCTTTCAGCTGACTGCAGCCATGTAACTAAGTCTTGGTCTCCAGACATGTCTTCAGAAGAGAGCTCATTTTTTCTTTACTCCTGTTGGCAGGCACGCAGAGGGGACAGCTGAAGCTCAAGCAGCCATGCTGGACCGAAAGGGAAAAGCTACTTGCTAAAGATGACAGACAATGGACAGAAAGACCTGCAGAGCTCCATTGCGTTCTGGGATCTCCTACCTCCAGGCTTCTGTGTCAGCAGAGAGAGATAAACTGCTATCTTGTTTAAGCCACAAAGAGTTGGGGGTTTTGCTCATATACAATCCATCTTGCTTTTCCTTATCACGGCCACAGAGGCATGGGATTGTGTCCAGTTGAGAGGCTAAAAGGAGGCTAACACGGAACTAAAGCCTGAGTGGTGAATGGGAGCCAGGACTGACACACAGGAGCAGTATCATGATTGACATCTCCTCCTCCTCCTCCTCCTCTTCCTCCTTCTCCTCTTCCTCCTTCTTCCTCTTCCTCTTCCTCTTCCTCCTCCTCCTCCTCCTCCTCCTCCTCCTCCTCCTCTTCTTCTTCTTCTTCTTCTTCTTCTTCTTCTTCTTCTTCTTCTTCTTCTTCTTCTTTTTTCAAACAGGGTTTCTCTGTGTAGCCTTGACTGTCTTAGAACTGAGTCAGAGGCAGGCATATCTCTTTGTCGACCAAGGCCAGCCTGGTCTACAGAGAGTTCCAGGACAGCCAGGGCTACACAGAGAAACCCTGTCTTGTAAAACAAACAAACAAACTAACCAACAAACAAACCAAAAGAAATAATTAGAAATAAAAACACTGTTATTATGTCATTCCTATGCACTGATGTCTCTACTATGCTTTGGCTGTGTGATTAGAGACCCAGTTTTGCCCAGATCCCATTCAAATCCACAAACACACGGACTATGAAGCCAGGTGTACATCGGGGATCCCAGTGCCTGGGAGGCCAAAGCAAGAGGACCAAGAGTACGAAGCTATGGAGTAAGACCTTGTCTCAAAGAACAATAATGGGTTGGAGAGATGTCTCAGTGGTTAAGAGCACTGACTGCTCTTCTAGAGGACCTGGGTTCAATTCCCAGCACTCACATGACAGCTCACAACTGTCTGTAAGTCTGACACTCTCAAACAGACATACATGCAGGCAAAATAGCAACGCACATAAAATAAAAACAAATCATTAAACAAACCATGCCACTTTGGGACAGAGTGAAGTCCCGAGAGCAATGGTTTCTGTCCTTGGGTCTTCTGGTCAGGCAGGGAAGACCTGCCACAGCATGGAGCGGTGAGGTATGAGGACACCTAGCACCTCTGAGCTGATCCCCTCCCCCGCCCCAGGACAGAGTCCTGAGTACAAGCATTGATCCTTGAAGGTCACAGCTTCGGTTCAGTGGGTTTGGGACTGGGGATGAAGGGAGTCTCAGGACAAGCAAAGGGACATGAAAGGGCCAGAAATCAAGAGAACAGAGAATATTCTCAGGAGAGCACATGTCTGACGAAGAGCCCCGAGTCCAAGGGCTCCTCAAGCAGATCCTGTGTTTTGGGAGACCCCTTTCTGAGCCAGCCAAGTTCTCACCTGTCTCCTTGGGCAAGCAGTAGCACCACGCCCACCTCTCTGGACCGTGAAGAGCATCCCCACGTGTGTATATTCTGAAAGGAGGCCTAGAACCAGCTGTCCTCACAGACCAGGCCTTACTACCCCAGCTAGGGGAGTCTTCTCCTCTCAATCCCAAGGCCCAGCTAAGGGTGCTGGCCAGGCAGATGAGGGGACCCAGAGGAAGAGTGGCCTTCCTGGTCCCTGTGCCACCTCCCACTCCTTACCATGCTCCCTCAGGAGTGTCGGAGCCGTGACTGTATGGCATCCCCCATCTTCCTCTGTGTGCTCCCAGTGACTGCCCTTCTCCTCTGCCCCACCCCACCCCATTCCTAGCTCTCTTCCCCTAAAAAAACTTCAAGGTTCAGCTCAAATTCCTCCCTGGGGACCACAGGACTTCCCAGGTGTTGTCTCCTCAGTCCCCACTCCTTTTTAAGTTGAATTTATTTATTTCTATTTTATGAGCATTGGTGTTTTGCCATGGGTGTCTGGTTCTCTGGAACTGGAATTACAGACAGTTGTGAGCTGCTGGGAATTGAATTGGACTCGGGTCCTCTGGAAAAGCAGTCAATGTTCTTACCCACTGAGCCATCTCTCCAGCCCTCTCAGTCCCCTCCTCCTTTTTTTTCACGACAAGGTTTCTCTGTATAACAGCTCTGGCTATACTGGAACTTGCTTTGTAGACCAGGCTGGCCTCACACTCACAGAGATCCGCCTGCCTCTGTATCCTGAGTGCTGGGATCAAAGGCGACCTGGTTCTCCTGCTCTTTACCACACTCTCGCCTTCAGACTCTGCGGTTATTGTGGGTTGTTATCATCTGCCCCACTAGATGCGAGTTCCTAAGGATGGATGTTCTGAGGACCAGCTCAAGCAACCGCCTACCCAGGAGACGGTCCAGGCTCAGTAACCCTCCTCCTCAACTCAGCCCCACCCTGCATCCAAAGGGGACTGTATCTTCAAACTCCCAGCCATCCGTCACTCCCTTTTGGTCCCAACAGTCCATAGAAGAAAGGAATGACCAGAGAAAGGATGTAGCCACACAGCAAAGTAGCAGAACTTCCTGTCCCGACAGTTTCTAAAAGCTGGACTGTGGAGACTCCCCTTGAGTGGAGGATAATGGGAATCTGGGTCCCTTGGTCTATGGGGAAGTAATTTCTTCCACAGAGAGTCAGTGGCTCTCCTGGGACAGCAGGGCATGGAAGAGGGACCATGAGGTTATTAAGGGACTCCATCCTCAACGATCACAGCTCCAGGCAAATACCCCACTCCTCCTCTTCACCCCACTACAAGGTACGGGTCACCTAATGCCAAGAAGCCCCTCTCCTGCCTGGTGAGGCAGACAGGGAGGTATGAGCGGGGAGGCTTCCCGTGAAAGGCTAGCTAACAGTGGGCTGAGGAATGCGGCGTAGTTGGTAGCGTTGCCCAACACTCACAAAGCCTTGAGTTGATCCCCAGCACGGAATAAAGTGGGCACGGGCACGGTGCTGCACAGCCGTAGTTCAGAACTGAGAGCAGAAGTTCAAGGTTATCCTCAGCTTCATAGCAAGTGTGAGACAAGCCTGAACTCAGGGAAATCCTGTATTTAAAAAAACAAACAAACACAAAAATTGAAACTGGGTTTCTCTACAAATCTCTGGCTCTCCTGAAACAGTCTGTAGACCAGGCCAGCCTTGAACTCACAGAAATCCACCTGCCTCTGTGCCTCTGCTTCTCAGGTTCTGGGTTTAAAGGCATGCGACACCACACCCAGGAAAAAAAAATAAAAAGAATAAAGGAGAGAGAGAGCAAGCAAATAAATAAAAGCTTCATAAAAAGCTCCTTCCCCTGAGGGCTTCATGAGCTCAGAGAGACTTGGTGTCCGGCATGGAGGAGGAGTAATGTCCCCTGGTCATTTTGCTTACAGGAAGCCACATTCCCTCTCTGGCAATTTAGGTACTTCCTCTGCACAGGGCACTTGAGAAAATGGAGCAGGACTCCAGCTGAACCTCCAGAACAGCCCCTGCAACAGAGGCCTGCTACTCTAGAGGACTCTGTCCCTTTAGGTCTGCAGGGATTCCGCCAGCACAAGTTCGTGGTTGAGACATGATAAGCTAAATTTGGCGGGCTCTAAAATTATCTATTGTTGGAGCCTGAACTTGATCTGTGCGTGTGGAGGGTCGGGGGAGACTTGAATGCTCACTCTCATTCACGGGCTCTTTCTCTCCTCAAGTGTCCCAGGCTGGCTTTGAACTCCCTAAGCACGTAGCTGAAGATGACCTTGAACTTCTGATCCACCAGCCTCTGTTTTAAGAGTTCTGGGATAACACCTCCTGAGTGTTGGGATTCCAGTGAGCCCGCCACACCCAGTTTTATGCATTGTTGAGCTCTAAAGCAGGGCATGCTGCAGACTACACAAGCACTCTACCGTAGAACTGAGCTCCAGCCCCACTCCTTGGTAGAAGAGGAAACCAAAGCTCCAAGAGACCAGGAGGCTGTGGTGACTCTCATAGCCAGTTAGCCAGTGAAGGAGCCGGGCAGAGCATTCCCGCCCCTCCAGGTCCACAGTACCCGACTTGGTCTGCTCCTCTTCATTCTCACCCAGTGGGGCCCACCTGTCAGTCAGAGATAGGTGCCCTGACGAGGGAGAGAGAAGCCCTGTTGGAGATGGGATGGGAGGAGAGCGCGGGGGCCAAGAATGCAGTTGCTCTGCCTAGGGGCCTGGGCTGGGCTGCCACAGAGGAGCCAGTGTGCCCAGACATTGAAGCTTTGTGAGCTAGGGCTCGTGTGGGGACAGTTGTTTTCTTGACTGGACATTGTTTCAGGTTGACTGTTAGGGCCATGGCCCCTAGAGGCCAGCTCTCAGGAGCCAGTGGGGTCTGAGAGAGTACCTAGCTAAGGTACTCTAGTCAGAGACCAGAAGAAGAAACTCAATAGGGTCCCATGAACACCAGACGGGTGCCTTGGGAGGCTGCCAAGGAAAAGCCGGTCTTGAAGGAAGACATGGGTAGAAGAGATGCCCTGAGACTTGGGGCCAGAAAAGACCTGGCCAGAGTGAAGAGTGGACAGAAGCTAGGCATACGTGTCCAGGGGCCAGTGACTGCCTGCCAGAGCCCTGGAAGTCCTGAGAACTCAGCTCTCAAGCCTCAGTCCATGAAGGCAGATGCAGAGGGATCCCCAGAGGTCAGAAGGGCCCAAAGGCCCTAGGAGCTGGCCAGGCTGGGTGGGGTCGGCCTGGTGCACAGCTGCCCAGATGTGGGTGAGAGATAACTCTGTTTATGGGGCACCCAGTTGGAGCGGGGCAAGGGGGTGGGGTGAGAAGGGGCTCCCGGCTGTGGGGCGGGCAGATTAGGAGGCAAGGGCATGAGTCAGGGGTTTGGGAGCCTCCCCCAGGGCACCTGCCGGTGCTGTTAGAGTGGTTGGGAGCTCAGCCAGTCGCACAGGGCACCAGCGGCAGCAGGACCTCACGAAGGACCCCCAAGGCTCCTGAGCAGGTGGGCAGGGCAGGGCAGGGAGTGGCTGGGTGGTCCTTAGGCATCTGTCCTGAGGGTTTGTGCAGGTGGTCAGCTTAAATCTGTGTCCAAGGGGTATGACCCTTAACCTCCAAGGGGGTGCAGGTGGGTGGGATGGCAATGTGACCATGTGCGTGTAGTCCCTCAGTGAACTAGTGGCAGGATGATAGGGCAGTTTCCATACGGA